TTCAGGGAGGGCTTTAGTCCAATGACCAGAATCTGGTGAAAGAAACCCAAAAACTAAAAACATCACACAGTTGGGTGGATAAGCAGATGATGGAGTTTCAAATATTGCACATAGTGTTAATGTATATGGTATACTATGTAAAGAGCTGCGTGTGCTTGTGTACCTTAGTGAGAGAGGCCATAGCCAGCAGAGAGTAGTGCATGATGGGATGGTCTCTCAAGTCTGGAGGGGCACGCAATGGTTCAATACAGCAGACTTCCCCTTTAGAACCACTAAAGAGACATCGAGAGTCACAGGACCGCATCCCCATCACTCTCCTGGAAACAAAGAGAAAAAGCTAATGTTAACTAAATCACAGAGGAATTGAAAAGAATGTGAAACTAATACATGTATGACAGTAAAGTGAGAACATTAACATTCTGAATTATGATATGAGAAGGGCTCTGTGTTCATCTACATTAGGCAACAGCAGGGTACACCTCGAGCTGCGTTTCCACTATGGAGACTTAAGGAGCGGTGTACCCTGTACTTTGTGCTACATAACCTCCGAGGTTTACACGGACCATCCTGCTTTGTTTTTCCACTGTATTTTCTCTGTGTCGGTCTATGTTTACAGGGAGGAAAGGCTGCTCCCTCTCACACATGCAATCACAGCTGAACAGAGGAAGATTAAATGATGTAAAGTATCACACCATAGTGCAACAGTCAGCCAATCACATCACATCAACCATGTGAAAAACCTGTGTAATAACCCCTCATTATCCTACTAAGTAGAAGACAATATACAATTACACTATGTGCAATACCATGTGCAATATTTGAAACTCCCCATTTTACCTGCTATCTTTCACTTTCTCAAAATTGTGTATCCACAATTTTATCAACTACTTTGTTTTCTTGGGTATTCCTGTTTTTTGTATTTTGTATTCTTGGGTAATCTTATATTTAGACTAGGCGTTTGTTCTTTTGGCTTTAAACTCTTTACTTGACTCCAGGAGAGCCCTGACAAAAATTCCTATATACCTAGACTGTCTGTTTATACATATATGGCAAATAAAAATCTTGAATCTTGAATCACAGGTGACTGCTCTGTGTGAACCCAACCCCTCGCATTCCTGGAACTTGATTTTATTACTACCTCATGAGGGGTGTCAATTTAGCTCCCAGAATGCACCTGCAATGCAGGTGGAGGGCAGTGGAAGCAAACACAGAACCCAACTCGACATGTTTCAGTAGGTTCCTCTAATGGAAAAACCCCTCTGGACAAGTGACCAGTCTATCACAGGGCTGACACGTAGACACAGACACTCATTCACACTCGCATACAAAGTTGCTAAGTTTACAGTTGCCAGCTAGCCGAACCTGAATGTCTCTGAACTTTGGGAGGAAATCAGAGTACCCAGAGAAAACCCATGCAAACACAGGGAGAACATACAAACTCTACAGAGAAAGGTCCATCTAGTCAAAAAGGTTCAAACCCAGAACTCTCTTGCTGTAAGGCAACAGTGCTAACCACTGCATCGCCATGCCACTCTGTTGAGTGTTTAATTTTTTTTTTTTTTTAATGCAGGTATGTATCTATAACTAGAATGCAAAAATTTGTTTAGGACAATTCATTGACCACCTGTGGAAGTACAAGGTGAAACATTTGCACTGTACTAATTCCGTTGTCCAAAATAAACTCCTACAGTATAATGATGCTACACTGACACATCAGCCATGTTCCATAAATCCTAAAACAAAACAAAAAGTACACTATAAAAGGTGAATAAAAAACCAAATTAAAAAGTCATAAATGACAATATAAGAAATATAAATACAAAACTAGGGAGAGCATGCAAACTCCACAAAAAAGCACTACATACAAATAAAAAACAAAATAAAAGTCTGACACCCCTCTCTCTCATCCTTTTCTGTTCTACACATCTCCTCCCAGGGCACAGGGGTCACCATTTTAAGGTTTACTTGCATGCAGTTAAAGTCTTTGTGACAGTTGCGGCCAGAGGCATGATGTTTTCAGGTTGCCCGTCCATCCATTTGTTTATTGTGAATGCAATATCTCAGGAACACCTTGAGGGAATATCTTCAAATTTGGCACAAGTGTCCACTTGGGCTCAAGGATGAACTGATTACATTTTGCTGGTCAGACGTCAAAGGTCAAGGACCTCACTTCTATCCATTCCTGTGAATTTGACTGACTGGCAGAGGCATACAACCGCAAAGTGGTAATTCTAGTCCTCAACTAAAAATATTTCTACAAAATTACTACACTGAATTTAAGTGGTATAATTTCCACATCTTGGCTGCATAAACTGGAAAAAGAATTTTGGCTAAACTATATGGAACAGTCCCATGTACTGAAGTGTCTCCGTAACCACAAAGCACTTAAGGGGTGGCGGTGGAACACCGTGAATGATCTTCTAGTAAATAAAAAAAACCAAAAACTATTAATTTACCTGAAAGCCAGCTCGAAAACGGATCCTCCACTGTCATTGCACACCGCAAGAGTTGGATCATCGGTGAACTACAGATACAAGAACAGGGAATGAAAAGGAAGAGAAATCAAATTGAAAATGACGTATGATGTAACACCATAATTGATTTCTGATTGTGTAAATTTGCTTTTTTGTTTTAAAGGTGTTCCTTTTATAAATGGTTGTATACGGGGAAAAGCTCTTTTTTGACCCAAGAGTGTTAAATATAGCCACTACTCCATACAGCCATATTCCCCTAAAGACAAGTGGCTGAATGGATGAGTGTGTGTGTCTGTACCTTCACATGAAGTACAGCTGTCCCTGGAGGGTGGGCATCAGTGATAGTTCTCAGAAGTTTCCCATGGGCTAGATCCCACATTGTAATCTAATTATGCAGACAGACAGACAGATGGGACAAGTCTGGCTCTTTAGGGTTTAAAGTACAAGATGTTAATACAATAATCTGTACAGTATTGTACAAACAATTACAATCAACCAGTTCCAATTGCTTTTTATTATCATATACAATTGGCTTAAGTTACAAGTACGCAAATAGGTCACTGCAGCAAATACTGTGAAGAAAGCATGAGGCTGCTTAATGCACTTACAGTTGTTACCCAGGACAAATGACACATAATAGGTATTCCCCTATATTCGGAATAATTTACACTTACAATTTCAAATGTGCACAAAGTGAAGATTTTTGTAGATATACAGTTTATTAAAGAGGGAAAATTTAATACACATAAAAGGGTTCATGCTATTCTCAAGCCTCTACAAACTAGAACCAAAAAGACTCACTGAGGCCAAAGGAAACACCAACATTTGTGCACATAAATTCAACCTCAGCTGCACCACTCCCTCCACCACCTCAGAGGAACTTTGAGAGTCCAAACAAAAACAGGTGTCTAACAAAAACAATCAAGTGACTGAGCCCAGTATACTGCAAAAAAGCAGGGGTCAAAACGTGTTCTGTGTTAACTAATTTTGAATTCTACCAACTACCTAAAAAAGTGTAGCTCATGCTTTCTTGAAGTGCTATAACATATCTGAGTTGGGCTGTAATGTCATCTGATGCTTTTTACCAGCTCTACCTTTACTTTTGGGAATGACTTATTCTGCAGATTGCATAATATTTGTAATCTTTTCATTAATCTGTTCAATGTCATACTTATGATCAAACTGTTCATTACATTTATTTATACATTTTTCATTTATGCATTTATCTCTGTATTTTAGGTACAGTTTCTGACTACTGGTCCAGTTTTTATCAAAAAAAGGTAATAATCACTTCCCACTGTGGATCCATCTATTACTTTTCAGGAGCTGATCCCTTCAATGTCGCGGGACGCTAGAGTTGGATCTATTGCTGATTCCCTTTACCATTACATCGACTGCAAGGATTATAGAAGTTAGCTACTGTTAAGCTATTTTCTAACCAAATCCTAACAATTAGATTCATATTCTGCATTAACGTCAATTATGCTATAGCTTGATGGAAATCTCTAATAAATGTGGCCTCTCCACCACCACTTCTCTTGTCTCTGTCCGTCCTAATTGCTGTGTACCCTGGAATGACAAAATCCCACTGTCGTTTTAGCCATGCCTCTTGAATGCATAATATCTGTGGTTTGTATTGTAATTTCATTAAATATCTTTTCAATTCTTGCCTGTTTGCAATAAGACTTCTAGCATTTCACTGAAGAATAGAAAATATCATTATGAACCCTCACAATCACCTTGTGAACTAGAGCCTGCAATAAGTCTGTCTTTACCTTCCTCCATTTACTGTATTCGTGCTCCCAGCACATCCCCCACACATTTGCTTTCCCTTGCAAACTGTCTCTACATGGCCAAACGTTTGATATTTAAAACATATTAGCATTGGAGGGATATAGAGCCTGACCCCATAACTGAAGTAGCCTAAAAATAATCTTGATTTGAACATGGCACCCACCGAGGCAGACGTGTTTGCGTGTTCAACTCTCAAATGCCGGATTTTTCTTCGTTTTCTTCTTTTTTGTGTGTTTTTTTCTTTTTCTGCAGTGTACAAATGTCATGCACTACTAACATACAACAGACAGGCATTACTGGATATCGCCAACTCACACAACCACTGGGAATTTACTGGTTTCATACCACCGGAGCTACAACTCATTGTCCGCTCGCGCAACAACAACGACTACAACCACTATCACCCTCAGGGAGCCCACCAAGCACCAGGCACAAGCGAGCAGGCTGAAGTCAGGAGAGCGACCTGGAGACAGAGACGCAAACGATCCAGACGAGGAGAACTCCATGCTAGGCTAAAAGCTCGTGCTACTCGACCGCCATTACCTAGCCTCTTCCTAGCTAACATACAGTCTCTGGAAAACAAACTGGACGAGCTAAGGGAAAGGATTACAGCACAACAGGAAATCAGAGAATGCTGTGCTCTAATTCTCACCGAGACTTGGCTTTCTGACAGCGTCCCATATTCTGCGATTCGGCTACAAACACACTGTGTACGTCAAGGTGACCGCACTGCGGCTTCAGGGAAGGTAAAGGGAGGTGGTGTGTGTATGTTTATCAATAACTCATGGTGTGGAGATGTACGGTGGAGATGTAGGGACTGTTTATAAGCACTGTTCGCCAGACAGAGTTTTTATTGCTGAAATGCCGGCCCTATTATCTAGCAAGAGAGCATAGTGCTGTGTTTCTGGCTGCTGTGTATGTTAGCCCAAGAGCTAATCCCTCTGTGGCTCTCAGAAAACTCTATGATGTGATCAGTGCGCTAGAGACAGCGCACCCTGATGCTGTTTTTATCACTGCAGGTGACTTTAACCAGTGCAATTTTATGGAGTGTACTTCCCAAATATTACCAACATGTGAACATTCCCACTCAGGGCAAGAACACTCTGGATCATGTTTACAGTAACATACGTGGTGCATACAGGGCCGTACCCCGCCCCCACCTTGGACACTCAGACCACAGTTCTTTAATCCTGTATCCAGCTTACAGACAAAGACTGAAACAAAAACCTGGTCAACAAATTAAACTCTGGATCCCTGAGACTGAAGGCATCCTGCAGGACTGTTTCGCCCAGACAGACTGGGATATGTTTAAAGCTGCAGCCACCTCAGAGGACTTTTCTGTCAATGTACAGGATTATGCTGAGTATGTGACCAGGTACATTAGTACCTGTACTGACAACATTGTGCCCACCATACAAGTCAGGAGGTTCCCCAACCAGAAGCCCTGGATAAATAGTCAGGTACGCCACATGCTGCATGCTCGCTCTCATGCATTCAGATCAGGCGATGAGACGGAGTACAAAGCTGCGAAGTACAGACTGAGGAAAGCCATCACAGCGGCCAAGAGGCAGTACAGAGAGCAGCTGAATGGCTTCTATTCTACTGCCGACTCCGGACGGATGTGGCAAGGCCTGCAGCACATCACAGACTACAGAACCACCACCAGCATCATCAGCTCCACAGACAGCCTGCCGGATGACCTCAACACCTTCTACACCCGCTTTGAAACCTCCAGCCACAGCACAGAGAGGAGGCATACACACCACCCAACCCCCCACCTCCCCTCCACTAACTGTCTCACCAGCACAGGTACGCACAGTCCTGAGGAAGATCAACCCCCGTAAAGTAGTAGGATGATACCTGCTTTAAGACCACAACCATCGTCCCCCTTCCCAAGAAGAGCCCGGTCACCTGCCTGAACGACTACAGGCCAGTGGCACTCACCCCAATCATTATGAAGTGTTTTGAGAGAGAGGTGCTGGCCCACATTCAGAGCAGTACACCAGACACCCTGGACCGCCCTGCAGTATGCCTACTGGCCCTATAGGGCCACCTCAGATGCCATCGCGGCAGCCCTCCACCATTCCCTTTCTCACCTGGAAAATGGAGACTCCTACATCAGGATACACTTCATTGACTACAGCTTCGCCTTCAACACAGTTGTCACCCAGAAACTGTCCACACTGGGTCTGCACCCCAACCCACCCTCTGTGACTGGCTCCTGGACTTTCTGACTGGCAGGCCCCAGACTGTCAGGATTGGCAATAGGACTTCAGCCAGCATTGTTACCAACACTGGCACCCCACAGGGATGTGTCCTCACTCTACACCTTGTTCACCCACGACTGTTGCCTCCCACAAAGACAACCCATCCATCCATCCACTTTCCTCCGCTTATCCGGAACCAGGTCGCGGGGGCAGCAGTCTAAGCAAAGATACCCAGACTTCGCTCTCTCCAGACACTTCCTCCAGCCTCTCCGGGGGAATACCGAGGCGTTCCCAGTCCAGTCGAGAGACATAGTCCCTCCAGCATGTCCTGGGTCTTCCCTGTGGCCTCCTCCTGGTGGGACATGCCCGGAACACCTCCCTAGGAAGGCGCCCAGGAGGCATCCAAAACAGATGCCCGAGCCACCTCAGCTGGCTCCTCTCGATGTGGAGGAGCAGCGGTTCTACTCTGAGCTCCTCCCGGGTGACCGAGCTCCTCACCCTATCTCTAAGGGTGCGCCCGGCCACCCTGCGGAGAAAGCTCATTTCGGCCACCTGTATCCGGGATCTACATTCCGACTCTCACCATAGGCCAGTAAATCGAGAGTTTCGCCTAACAGCTCAGCTCCTTCTTCACCACGACGGACCGGTACATCGACCGCATTACTGCAGAAGCTGCACCGATTCGCCTGTCAATCTCCCGTTCCATCCTTCCCTCACTCGTGAACAAGACCCCAAGATACTTGAACTCCTCCACTTGAGGCAGGAACTCTCCACCAACCTGAAGGGAACAAGCCACCCTTTTCCG